CCCCTGATAATCTACAGTCATGGTTTTTGGTGAGCATGATGGACTCAAATACAGGTAAAGAGCCTTAAAACTCAAACACATTTTCTTAAACACTCCATATGGCTCTAAATCCACTGAAACCTTCATATAAAAACGTTTGGAAGTGTGGGCAGGTTTATGGCCACAAATCTCCTTTATTGCCTTCTGAAAACAGTGTGATTGCTGGGTTTTAGTCTATGTAAGGCTAAACGCTTTTAACTAGTTGCTGTTGCTTTAAGGTCGCTTGGTGCATAAGAAGCCCTCTGTCATATCAGAGGAGGGTCTCTCTTTCTTCACCTCTTCAAGTAATCTTTTGATCATAGATAGAAAGGATAGGGTGGCATATCATTGAGCGTATCAAATCATCTGACCTGAGATCAGCCTTGCGTTACACAAAGTGGCCAGTCACCAGACCTGGCCAAGCTGGCTCCAGGTCAGTGATAGCTAATGTTTAAATCTGTCAGAAAGTCTGAGACAGACATGGACCCATCTGGCCAAAGTGTGTGTAGGTGGCTGGGATAGTGGTGTTGAGTGACTGTGTTGATGGGGTAACCCTATGATCCCCTGTGTTTGTGACCAGATGGAGGGGATCTTCTCATTTTCAGAGATACCTGACTCTCCCTCTCTACCCCCATATGTCTGTAGAAGGCCATGCCAAAATATGATATGCATGATCCTCAACAAATGATGTATGACTGCTCTTGATCTGCAGATTTAAAGTGTATGTGTGGAAAAGATGGAAGATAAAGAGCTCAGTGTCTAGGACAAATAGGACATCAGGTCACATGAATCGCTGATGAAATTTCTCCTAGTTCCGCTCAAAGACTAGGTATTAATGTTTGTGTGTTATTCATTTGAAACAGAGCTTTTTTAACTAGAATAGCACTATTTACAGCTTCAAAAGCCTTCAATTAACCCACATAACACTTGAAACCAGGCTATACAATGAATTTGGGTTCACATCTAAATATAAAGGTTCTTTATCAGCATCGATGGTTCCATGAAGAACCTTTAATAATCATGGAATATTTCCATTGTACAATAGGTTCTTTATAGTGTGGAGAGTTCTTCAGATTATTAAAGTTTTTCAAGCTGAAAAAAGGGTCTTTTGAGAATTGATCACTGAAAGGTTCTTCCCCCTTTTGGAAGCTTTATTTTTTAGAGTGTTGGATCTGCTTCCATTATAGCAGAGAGATCTGTCTACGTAAACTCGCTTACGCACACACATGCATTCATACACAGAGGTTACACCTCCTCCCTCCCATGCTGAGGAACCATCGGTCAGCGATTGTGAGAACTTCCTGTGACAGGAAAAAGAGGAAGAGGAGGAGAGAGTAGAGAAGAGGAAGAAGAGAGGGAGAAGGAAGTGTAATTTTAGAAGAGGCAAAAAAAGTTCAGCTAGCAGGAATTCAACTTTGGCCAGGTTAATGGGACATTCTCCCAAGATATTTTGTCTGTCAGTCTGTCTCTGAGTCAGGAGGCTGTAGTCTGCCTCTTTGTGTTGTCTGTCTCTTTTTTTATTTCCCCCCTCTCTCATCAACATAAATTAAAATTTCATTCATTTGATACAAACGGAAGCATTAGGTGGAGTGCACACTGTATGCTTTGATAAAAGGAGAAAACACACAAAGGCACATGTTTCTGTGACGGATGCTGGCCAGACATCCTGTGTGCTCGACTCAGGTCACCATTGCAGAATTCGCAGGTCATGCATCCACTAGAAGGCTGGCACCAAGATATGAAGCAGATGGATTGTAGATTAAGGCTGATAGAAAGAGGAAGAGAGATGGGAGGAGGCAGTGATGACTGTTGGTTCCCTTTTGTTTGCAGTGTTTTAAAACACTAAATCAAAACTATATGATGAAAGAATGTAGGTTTTAGAGAAAAGGAAAGAAGGAAAAAAAACATCCAATACATACTTTTTTTGTCAAATATTTGTGTGTATATATATATATATATATATATATGTGTGTGTGTGTGTGTGTATATATGTATATATACGTATGTATCTATATATATACATATACAGTGGGTACGGAAAGTATTCAGACCCCCTTAAATTTTTCACTCAAACAAACACACACACTAAATAATGTGTGTATAAGCATTATATTGACCATCCACCAACATGAGATCTAGATTTGACTATCAGCAACCAGAGAAAAAAAAAATATCAGTCAACCACTAGGTTATTTAACTTTGATTCTTAATGATGTCACTTTTTTCCATAACGACTATTTATATTAGTTAGTAACTGTTGCTGAATTAATTTAGATGACCCATGGCTTGCGTACTAATTCACATATATGAAATAATGACATATGTAGGCCTTCTGGGATATTTTTTTTGGCTTGGAAACATACTATGTGTCATATTAAGAGGAAAAAGTGCTCAGAACGTCCAACCCTGTGAAGTAATACTGACGTCAGTCTGGCTTTCAACACAATGTTAGTTAAGTTACTCAATCTGATGGGTTTGTAGCTAAAATGTATAGTTTCCTTCATATATAAACGCATGTACCGTACAATCAAGGAAAAATCAAAGGCTGTTTACTTTACTTGGGAGGTTCAACCTATTTCACATTCTCTCTGAGGTCGAATGTTCGACATTCTGTGTGTTACAGGATGTAAGGCGTTCTCTGTGTTTGTGTTGGCGCTGAAGGCCTCCATTATCTGGCCTTGAACAAAAGGAGGTGTGTCCTCCAAAGTGTCCATGGCAACTGTGGAATGAGCCGCTCTTATTGGCTTCCCATCGGCCTCGGAAAGGCAAGGGAAGTGTGGTTGCCGCCTGGCGTGGGGATCCGCACAGACTTGCGGGGAGAACACAGGATGCGACGTGCGCACACAAACATGAACTCTATGCTTGACATCCAGCAGTGTTAGAGAGTGTGAAACAACTGCTCAAGTGTGTTTATACTTATCTATCTTCATAAAGACAGCATGTTTGAGTGTAATGCTTTGATGAATGTATCCTTGGTGAGTTTACCTCCTATAAATTTGCCCATAGGAAAGAAAAGTCTCAAATCAGATCTTTTTAGAAGACTTTTGCTGACATTTCTTAGATCCCATTCTTGAAGACACCCCAAGAGCACACATTTTGGATGTTTCCCTTTGCTGACCCATCCTTTTCAGGTCCTGGAGTCACTATTAATGAGCTGATGAGTTGATTCAAGTGTGTTTGATTAGGAATAGTTCGGAAATGTGTAGTATTGGAGGTGCCACCCGGAAAATTGTTGAGAGACGCTGTCTTAGATACTTCTCCTGAGAAAAGACCCTATAATCTCAAACATCTCTGCATGATTTTTGAGGTTCCGTCTCTGGTTAGAAAGCCTTACTTACAATTGGTGTCAGACAGGCACCTGTGTGATAGCAGCCCATTGTAATCAGGCAGGGGGGACACCTTGCCAATGAAAGGAAAAGCCAGTCACTGAGACACTGCCCATCATTTACATTTAAATACATACATTCTTGCAGCTGGATGGTCTTCAGTGGTGCCTAGCCACTGCAAACACACACATACAATCTATACACGCACACTCACACAGGAAGCCACAGCGCTCATTACAGACCATTTCAGAAAAGTGTGTCATTATTTTAAGTGTAGGACATTCCTAAAAGTTCACGAACTCCTAAAAAGTGCTTTCGATCAAAACTCATTCGCTTGAAAGGAATCCCATCAAGTGCATGTGGATTCTTGAGATGGATTAGAGATACAGTTGCATGTGTGCAGTTGAGTCAGATTGATTCTGTTATTTTTGCATTGCTGTCCTTGCTGTCAAAGCATGTTCTTCTCTTGCTTTCTTCTTCTCTTTCCACCAGTAGAGGACCTCCCTTATCACGTGCCTTTGTTGTTGTCATGTGTGCCGTCACTCTCACGCTTGTTCGAGTGGGGAGTCACGTATCTCTGCTAGTAGAGACAGAGTGTGCGTCCTTTCCTCTGGGCAAAGTCTTTTTACGCATATCTTTCGCTCACGTCTCTTTCAATTGATGCCTCCTAATCCCCGGCCTCCTTTTCTTTCTGTTGAAGTGATGGGGAACATATCACAGGTGGTCTTTCAGTTGTGCAAGGCATCATCGCAATCATTGCAATTCGAATAATTGGAATTTTAGGAGTCGGGAATGTGCGCAATTAGCCATTGAGAAAAGTGAGAGGTCCCTCTCTGCTGATTGCAACCTATTGTGAGCTGTAATTGTGTAGATTCTGCTTGTGATAGACGTGCCAGTGGAGAGCCGCAACAGCTGTGTTCCACCTTTAGAGGGCGCTAATAGGGTCTCTGTAGCACTTGAACACAAATCCAAAATAATTTAGATGCTTTTTTTTATTAAAAGGGCTTTAAACAACTGGATAGTCCCCCTGGAGCAACCTGAGGTTAAGTGCCTTGCTTAAGGGCACAATGGATATCAGGATTGATTGCGATCTCAGTAACTCGCCAGTTCCTGAGTCATGCCTACTTGAGTTCAGTTCAGCAAAACTTTGAGATCCTTATCTGCCCATTCACAGAGCTTTTAAAATAATCTGGTTTTGTAATTTTATACCTCACCTTGGTTTCATATTTTTAATCAAGTATTTACATGGAGCGAGTGTTGCTAGTCAAATAATCATCTTAAGTGACAGAATCACAGTTAAACTCCTAATTCTGACACCGTTCTGTATGAAACAACACGTTGACCTCTAGAAGGAGTCAAGATGCCTTCAATGGTGTTTGCCATTTGGCATGGGGTGTCTAAAGGGCCATTCAAAGATAATGGACAGGGATGTGGCACCTCTCCACCACCCCGAAAACAGTTCTGACTGCGTTGGATGGCCACTTAGCACTGCTGTCTCAAACATTACACTATAGCGCCAAGTTGAAAAGTCAAAATATCCAGCACTCAGAAGGGAACTACATAAGAATTTTGAGTGTTTCCACAGTTTTTTTTTATTTATTTCTGTTTAAAGTTCAAGTTCATAAATTTCAACCTCTCTCTCTCTCTTTCTTACAGAAATTGAGGTGAAGGAGGCGTGTACATGGCTGAGGGCTGCAGGTTTTCCACAGTATGCTCAGCTTTATGAAGGTAGGACACTTGTCATCCCAACATCACCAGTTCATGATCGAAGCGCATTGAGTTTCAGTGGCCATTAATGCCTTACCAAATGCATTATCTCACTTTTAGTATCTCTCAATTTCTGTCTATCTCTCCTCGCTTTCAGTCATAGTATTAAGCAGCACTTAAGGTTTGTTAATGATTAGGCGGAGGTGACATTATCTTTTTATATATGAAAAATAATTGTTATATACAACTCACACAGAATCGTATATCAGATAACACCACACCTCAGGTGTCCAACCTTACACACTTTTGACCTACTGACTCCTGCCGGTGTGCCAAGTGAAAGGGGTGTGTTATCAGTTTCAGAAATCTGAGTTGTGTGACCAGCCTGTCGTGATTGCCCCACTATAGATAAGAGCCAGTACAGTAAGGTAAAGGCCTTCAGGAAGTCAATAAAATAATCATGTTATCCCTTGCTCACTGGTACAGACTCACGTACACACCATTTGTGAAGTTGTTAGAACATTTAATAGAGGTAAAATATAATAGTTGTGAATTCCCCCCCCCAAATTTTTTTTTTTTTTAAATTAATGAGCATTTGAGTTATTAAAGACTCAGTTAATAAAGACAGTCTGGGAGCTCTACAGGTTGCTGACTGACTATTGTGACTCCAACACCCCCTTCCTACGCACACACCTCCCACTGTTGAGCACTGCAGTATTGCAGCTGTGTTTGTTTGGCTGGCTAAGACGAACTTCCTCTACCTTTTCAACACCGGAGGAGGGGAGGTTTGTGTGTGTGTGTGTGTGTGTGTGTGTGTGTGCATGATAGAGGGCAGGCACAGATTCCACTTGCTGCCAACAGCCCCCCTTCCACACATAAATACACTTCAACCTGTTTATTGGGTCTCTGTTTGTATTAAATTTATTTTCAATTCAGTTCTGTCCTCTCTTTTCACAGACGGTCAGTTCCCGACTGAGATTTCCTCAGTTACCCGAGATCATGACTTCTTGGATCAAGATGCCATAGAAGCCTTGTGCAGGTGAGACACTCATATTTACCCAAATGAAGATTTGTCAAATGAAGCTAATTTACAGGTACAGTTATACATGTTATCCTCAAAGTATAGCTGCAGAACCGCTATAACTGTACCATATTACAGTTATGTGTATGTCGGATTATGATTTGATGTTAAGACAAAAGAAAACAGACAATTTCAAGAAAATAAAATTAGATTGAAATCTATCAGAATTAATCTACCGGTGCCATGGTTTTCTTGCATTGTCAGGCTTTTATAATTAGCTGATTTTGATCATATTCAGAGTTCAGTTCTATAAATAAACGGACTAATTTTCTTAGAATATTTTTAAAGAAAAAAAAGAGAAAGTGAAGAACTCCATCAGAGGGTCCATCAGAGACCAGCTGGAGCTCACAGACATCTGGAGGCTATTTTCTGGTGCCAGCCCCCCTGATGCAGACAAACACACATTCCCCCAACTCAGGGTCACATGACACTTACCAGGTGGCTTCTGGGATAAGCTTTCCGTATCTTTTGTTGTATTGTTGTCGCCACTCCAGATTTCTACCTCCTTTTTTTTCTTTTATTCCTTTTTTATTCCTTGTCCATCTGTCTTCCTCCTTAATCTGAAGTTTATCCCTCAGCAGCTCATTATCGGGCTTGGGTCCCACCTCTCTCGTTCTCATCTCTTTTTATCTCCATCTATCTCAGTCTGTATCTCTATCTCTTGCTTATCCCCTCTCCGCCCCCTCCTCTCTATCTGTCTCTGTCCAAGGTTTTGACTCTGGCAAAGTCTGTTTGTAGGCTAATGACTGGATTTAGCCTTTGTTTGCGACCCCATGGTTCTTTTCAAAGTATCTGCTTGAAAAACAACTGTCACTGTTTCACTAATTTATCTGTATGTGTGTTTATTGCAGGAGACTGAACACCCTAAACAAGTGTGCTCTTATGAGATTAGAGATCACCCCTCAAAGAAAAAGAGTAAGTGTCTTGTCCCTTTCTCTGTATTTTGCTAAATCATTTCACTTGCTACCCTCTTGCATTCTTTTGTCCAGTCAAAGGTCTTAAATGTGTGTAACTCATGTTTACTTTCTGTGTTGGTTAATTAGAAGGAAAGTCTTGTTTTCTTAGCATTTTCAAGGCCCAGGGGCAGTGCAGAATGGCTTTTATGTCCAAATAAAGGGCTTTGTTAGCGCCCATCCTTCTGATTTTCTTTACTCCTGTTTGTCATGTTTTTCTCACCATACACATCCTAAAACCCCCCTCCATACCATAAAAGGAAGAGAATGCACAGTCTGTTGTTGGTCACTCTGTCAGTGTGGTTTAAGAATGAGGGTGTATAGTCTAAGACTGCCCTAAAGCAATGACTCAAACTACATGCAGGACGAGAATGCAACAACAAACAATCCAACTATGTAATCACAACAGGGAGCTTAGGAAGATAACCGTCATGTCTGACTGCAGCTTCTTTTTCTGCTCTTAAAACTTGTAAGTCTGAACAATGGCAGCCTTGTCAAGTGTGCGTCCTGTTAAGAAAGCTGATGACCCTTTAGTGTCATCTTGTGTTGATGGAGTCAAAGGTAGAGGTCAGGAGATGACTTGAGGAAGTGATCAGCCCTTTTCAAACATACAAGCAGAAACCATCCCTGGAATGCATTGATCTGTTCAGGTGGCCTCTGTAGGGTCCTCCTCTGTTCCTTGTCTTCTTGTCCATAAAGCGTATTTTAAAGTGAAAACAGTCTTTTTGAATTAATAGCTGATTTTCTGGTGGGTAGTGAAGAAACGTTGCACACCATGTCTTCGTTCTTTCCGATCAAAGGCTTGCCCTCAGGGGCTTTAAAATAACAACCCACGTTTTATGGACTTTAGTCGCCTCCGTTATTATGAACCGTGAAGGAGATACCTCTGGATCCCGCGACCCCCTGTTAACCAGCCGACTAGTTTTGCTTTTACTGATTTGTCCATTCTACAGCTAAACTGATATCAACTAACTCAGCTAAGAGTGTAAAATTGTGAACCAGTTCTATATTCTAGAATTACTTAATTAACTCCCTAATCTCTTTAGGAAATTACACAGTTATTAAAAACTATTTTAACAGGCTGTGAAATCTACAGCTATAATTGGTGATAGAGATCTGGCATTGTAGGACAAACAAGTATCGCTCAAATATTTTCACCTCCCGTCCAACCCCTTTGTCCAGGAGTCCCATCACAGGAGACGAGGCTCTCCAGGCTGGCTTAAGGTGATTGCATTGATGGGGGATGGGACCAGACCTGCCCTCTCAGGCTGGGGTGTGAACTCTGAGAGCTGGCCTGGAATTTTGTGTCCACCACCCCCTTCCTTCCATCCCTACCACCCTCAGGGAGGAGATAGATTAACCCGAGTAAAGCGAAGAGGGAGAATGGTGAACATGTGACTGTGCTGTGACATGGCTAAGCCAACCACAATAAAAAGCTTTTTCCTTTAGTGGTCCCTGGTTTTATGCATATGACACTTTATCAAGCCCAAGAGGCTTGTAAGAGTGAGAAAACTGATTCTCCTCACAATGCTAGATTCATGAAGTGAGGGAATGAATCGGATCAATTTGACACTAAAACAACAAGCTTTGTTGCAGATTCAGGTTCGCATTATTTGTCTTTACTTTTTCAAACGTGACAACAAGACTTCAGTCATTAGTGTACTTGGCTGCTTTGATATTAAAAGTATTGACTCTCTTCCATATTATTTCAGAGTGAAGACTCTGATGAGGATGAGCCATGTGCTATAAGTGGCCGTTGGACTTTCCAGCGGGACAGCAAGCGTTGGTCTCGCCTGGACCTGGATGTATTCTCCCCTCCAGCTGGAGACACTGGCTCCTTCACTCCCTTCCTATCCCTAGATGATTGTTTTGCCAGAGGAACCCTTCTAAAGGAAGGAGTTAATGCTAGTGCAGAGAGTGTCTTAACAGATCTTAGTGAGCAGCCAGAGGTGTGCTCTCTGCACAGTGCTGGTAGTGGAGGTCGAGGAGGATTCCTGAGTACCACTGTACCATCCATCCCTGCTACAACCATCTCCAATGCTAACACAGCCACCACGACCAGGGCGAGCTCAGTTGCTAGTGTTTGCTCCTCTGGAACATCAGGTGCCAATGAAGACTCCCTGTCTGATGGGCTTCCATCACCACTGGAAAGCAGCACCTTTGCATTCAATGTAAAACCAAGCTTGATAAGCAGTGGTGCTGAAAAAAGCACACGTTCAAGAGCAAAGAATTTCTTGAAGCGCATGGAAAGTTTGCGGTTACGCACCAGTAGCAATGCAGCCTCCAAGCATAAAAAGAAGGGTGTAGCTGGGCAAGGTAGGCTGGAGATCAGTGGGCCTGTGCTGAAAGAGGGTCTTGATGAAGACAAACTGCGACGCCTCAACTGTGTGGACATTGCAACTCTGGATCGCAATGCAAACCGAAACCGAAGCATTACCTATTCAATGCAGACGAGTAGTGGGAGTGCAGGGAGTAGCCAATCAGAGGCCAGCAGTGGGAGTGCTGTCAGTACACCCAGTCCGGTCTCAAGAGCACGTAGTCACAGCACAGCAGCGGGGTCTACAAAGAGAGGTGGGATGTACCTGGAAGGCTTTGACCCATTTAATTTCGTTGTGCTGCAACCTTCGAAAGACCAAGAAGGGAAGCAGAATCACCAGACCCAAAGTAAGAGGATGGAGCCAAGCTCAACTGCAGAGAACAATCGACGCAACCGTCAGAGTTCAGATAACAGACGTATGGAGGACAAAAAGATTCGAGAAGAGGAAGGAGGTGTGATCTTCTTCTATTTGCCTAAAGGCCACAAGCCTGGCACTTTTCCTAAAGCACTTGCGGACGGGGGATCCTTTCGTGGTGGGGACAACATAAGTCGGCGCCCTCCCCGGAGGGGCTCTGCTGCCTCACTAGACAGTCGATTGAGTGTCTATGATAACGTTCCTTTCTCAGAAGTAGGAGATGATGAGGCTGAAGCAGAAGGAGAAGAGGAGTCAAAACTTGAGGACGCTTTGGAGCGAGTCAGTGGCCTGCAGCGACTGGTCAATACCTGGTCAGAAACAGGAACTGGGGAAGAAGAAGAGGATGAAGAGGAAGAGGAAGGGGATTCAGATTCAGCCCTTGATTCTGCATCTCCTTGTCCATCATCCCCACTGCAGAACCACTTAGAAGAGACAGAGAACGGCAGTGACCAGGACAGCACTGGAAACCCGTTAGCAGAAAGGGATGAGACACTCAGCTCACGTGAAAGATGTGACTCTGGTGTGGGAGCATCACTTACACGAGCCAACAGGTGAAACCCTCTCAAACACACACACACACACACACACACACACACACACACTAAGTAGTCTCTGAGACAAAGATGTCTTACTTTTTTTTTTTTTTTACTGGAAGTGCTACCAAAACCGTTCCTGTAGTATTTTAGAGCTTTGGCAAAACTTAATGGACAACTATCATGCCAAAAAAGCACACTGAATTATGGAACAGGGAGGTTGAGAAGGAGTGAGAGAGCATGTCAGAACGGCTCACCTTACATAACAAGGGATACTTGAAGGATACGGAATCCCAGTGGAATGTACCACATGAATTCTAACAGCCCCCACCTGGTGATAGAGGCCTTGATTAATCCCTGTTATCTGCAGCTGATCCTTAGCTTGTGTTTATGTATGTATACACAATATGTGCAAGTCAAGGTACTTATTCTTTCAAGTTTGAACTGTGTACTTATGAGTGTGTGTGTAGTGTTAATGTAATAAATTCTGTGTGGTTCATGTCTTGCAGTTTATAAACACTAATTTATATTAGTCTGTAATGTCTATGTTTTGAACATTTTGTGATTGTTTGAACTAGGTTAGGTGTAACATTTCTATGAACGTTTATGTTGCAGACCCCAGAAACTGCGCTGGCCAAGTTTCCAGAGCTCCCACAGGCCAAGTCTGTCGTCAACAGTACTACAAGTTGGATGTCAGTCAGTTCTGCAGATGAACCTCCTTCAGAAATACAGCCTCCTCAAACTTACCGCTCTACTGGAGAGACACACACCCACCAACAAGCATGGCTTCAGCTGGTGAGGATTCAAACCAATATGAAAATATGAAAAAAATCTAATTTCGAATATTCGTCGAATTAAAAAAAAAATCCACATTCTAATGCAAAAACGTCAGGCAGCCTATCAGTGGCACACGAAATGCGACGATGATGTAAGTGTCATTGCATTTTAATGCTTTTGTTAGCCTATTCAGTTGAACCCACTAGATGCGGCGCTGCTACGTTGTTTATTCAATATATTGGCAGAAAACGAGAGCATCAGTGTGGAGAAGATGTTGTTTACGTCAAAACTGAAACCAAGCCGTTCACACAGAACGCATATTTATCACATTTTCTAGAGGGACATCTATCAGCGTTGCAATCGCGTCTGGCACAAGAGAGCGGCATGTTTTGAACTGTAAACTGTAAAATTAATGTAAGTTCAACTTTTAAAAAACATGTCTCAAGACTTTATGGCATTTTTTCCCCATCCCACTGTATCTCATGTTTTTAAATGAAGAAAGTAGCCTACTCTTTGTGATTGGTTTTCTTTGTATTAAACTATACATACATACATACATGGTGATGTTTTTTTTCTAATTGTTTAAGCAACTTTATTAATTATATATGGTTTATAAAGATTATTTTAAACATTATGCACTTTTTTTTCAAAGATAGTCGTGTTATTTTATTATGCTTTGAAGAAACATGCATACTATTTTGTGTGATGCGCCCTCTTGTGGCCTCAGGAGAGAAGCCAAAAACGTTTTTTCCGCTAACTGAAATTATGCCTTTTAAATTCGAATATAATTCAAATTTTGATAATATTTAAGTAGAAAATTCGATTTAGTTTTTCAGTCATTTTGACAGCCCTAAAACACACAAAATTAAGTTTACATTCTTTCTTTACTGCTTTACCCTTTTCCCATCTTCCTACCTCTCCACTAGGAGTTGATTATGTCAGACCATATCACAAAGCTGTGGCTTTTCAGTCCAGTAAATTCGCTGTTCCTGTTATTAGTGTTCACTCACACACACACACGCACACACACACACACACACACCTGCACATCAGCACATATATATGAGAGGTTTTAATATGTGAAACCACCATACATCATGATAGTGACAAGCCAAGTATTTGGCACCTCAGAGATATCCACACATGCACAGACACACACAACATCGGTCGGAAAGACAAACACCCTGCCACACAGATGTCCGCACGTGTGTTCGTTCCCTTTTATTCCTCCTGCTCAAAGCCATTGTCTGTTGTGTCAGTGTTTATACTTTTGCCTGTAAAGGTGGAAACAGCTTTTAGTGGCCCCTCAGCTTCTAGAGGTTTTTCTATTAAATAGCCTACACAATTATCTACACACTCATACACTTACAAACCGACATCCTGTTGACACATGCTGCTCATAAGTAGCTATGTGTGCCTCTAAACACTTAGAACCAAGTTTTGCAAAAAAATATCAGAACTGTTTTTGCTAGTTATGTATGGACTGTTTGCTCTGTATGATTTGACATTCAATTAGTAATATGGAATGTTGCACAGTAAAGAAATAAAAGTAGCAAAAGTAGCTACTTTTTTAACACTTTGCTGTTTGTAATGTCACTTTGTATTTGTTGATACATTTTGTGTGCTTTACAGGGCTGTTCCAAAGTTTATGAAGAGGATCAAGGTTCGAGACTATAAGGACAGGAGTGTGTTTGGCGTTCCACTGCAGGTGATAGTTCAAAGGAGCGGACAACCCCTGCCTCAGAGTATTCAGCAAGCCATGCGTTACCTACGGAGCCAATGCCTCGACCAGGTGAGAGATGACAAATGTGCACATATGCGAGTATGCACATCCAAATGGGTACTTCAAAGAAAATTGCACAAACACGTCATAGCATACCTAACTTTGGTTTGTTCAGTGGTATATTCAATCTCCTATAGAAAAACTAAAATCTGATTTTGTTTGTTTTGTTTTGTTGTAAAGAAAAAATACATTTTTAAGAGAAATAAAAATATCTGGTCAATGTCATAACCTAGTTAAATTATCCCTATTTGAACAGCTGTTTAGTTGCATGGTCCCTGTTGTGTTGTTACATGCAACAGGGCCATATTTAAGCACAATACATCTGTTGTTTTATCACCACATACTTGAGTTCAACACTCAGTCTAAGTTTGCATGTAGCACAATAACCTCAAAAGGCCTGAATGTTCTGGTTACATATATTTACTAGTTACATATTACCAAAGTTAGCCACATGGTTGACATTCCATTCCAAGGGTGTTTAAGAGAAAGCAAATGATCTATGGACTATAGACAGAGCTCTCTCTCTCTCTCTCTCTCTGGTGTCAAATGAAAAAAAAACTGCTTTGCAATTTACATAATAGTTACACTTTTAGGCTTTTCCAGTCTTTGTAACTGGGTTATGTAAGAAGCAGTAGGGAGTTTTCTTAGAGATGCCTTTCCTGTGTTTGGAAAACTTGCGGTCACACCGGTAAATCATCTATTTAGCTGTCAGTTTGGAAAAGAAAGAGAGAGAATGCAAATTAATTGTCAAAATATAATAAATAAAAATTTAAAATTAAAGACATTTTGCAACTGAGCTGCAACTTCAAAACATATTCAGGCAGAAGTGTTTTTACTATTTATACTAAATGTCTAACCATCTTTCTCTACAGGTTGGGCTATTTAGGAAGTCAGGGGTGAAGTCACGTATCCAAGCCCTTCGCCAAATGAACGAGTCATGTGGCGCTGGTGGGGGCGGAGTCAACTACGAGGGCCAATCAGCTTATGACGTGGCCGACATGCTAAAGCAGTATTTCCGAGACCTTCCAGAGCCTCTGCTTACCAGAAAACTCTCTGATACATTTCTACAGATATATCAATGTAAGAACACACATAGAATTCACCTTTTAGGTGTTTTGTAGAAGACCACACACTTGCACTGACATATTCCGGTACAAAATGTACTCACAAACAATGATATCTTGGCTTTTAAAACAAGAACACACACACACACATTAAAAGAGCAAGACATTTCATATCCAGAGGGCAGCTCACAACTACACAAAGACTGTACTACAGGTGCATCTCAATAAATTAGAATGTCATGGAAAAGTTCATTTATTTCAGTAATTCAACTCAAATTGTGAAACTTGTGTATTAAATAAATTCAATGCACACAGACTGAAGTAGTTCAAGTCTTTGGTTCTTTTAATTGTGATGATTTTGGCTCACATTTAACAAAAACCCACCAATTCACTATCTCAACAAATTAGAATACTTCATAACACCAATAAAAAAAAACATTTTTACTGAATTGTTGGCCTTCTGGAAAGTATGTTCATTTACTGTACATGTACTCAATACTTGGCAGGGGCTCCTTTTGCTTTAATTACTGCCTCAATTCGGCGTGGCATGGAGGCCACACAGCCTCAGTCCATTCCTTGTGAAGTTCACTCAAATTCTTGAATCAATTTTGCTTGACAATCCTCATAAGGCTGCGGTTCTCTCGGTTGGTTGTGCATCTTTTTCTTTCACACTTTTTCCTTCCACTCAACTTTCTGTTAACATGCTTGGATACAGCACTCTGTGAACAGCCAGCTTCTTTGGCAATGAATGTTTGTGGCTTACCCTCCTTGTGAAGGGGGTCAATGATTGTCTTCTGGACAACTGTCAGATCAGAAGTCTTCCCCATGATTGTGTAGCCTAGTGAACCAACCTGAGAGACCATTTTGAAGGCTCAGGAAACCTTTGCAGGTGTTTTGAGTTGATTAGCTGATTGGCATGTCACAATATTCTAATTTGTTGAGATAGTGAATTGGTGGGTTTTTGTTAAATGTAAGCCAAAATCATCACAATTAAAAGAACCAAAGACTTAAACTACTTCAGTCTGTGTGCACTGAATTTATTTAATACTTCGAGTTTCACAATTCGAGTTGAATTACTGAAATAAATGAACTTTTCCACGACATTCTAATTTATTGAGATGCACCTGTATACTATAGATGCTTGTTCTTGGATGGGTGAATCATTCCGAAAGGGTAAAGAAATCTAAACAAGTTCAGGAAATAGCTGTCAAGTGACGTTTTAGCAAATGCCAGTAGTTACTCACAAGCAGCTTAGTGTGTACTTACCACCGCTATTTCACAGCACGCACACACTCTAATATGTGTGTGTGCTCACCTCAAATATCAGAATCTTAAACAACTCCAAACACGTACATCACTTTGGTAACCCGTTCATAAACTAGTGTGTAGAAGTTGCCAAGGTACATGCTTATGAAATTTTATTTGGTTTGAAGCTGCATTTATTTCAGTTTAAATGTATTAGTTATATTTAGTCATGCAATGTTTTAAGAAAATGTGATATAAAATATAATATAATATAGTATATAATAGAATTGTATAGATTTAAGAGCTCTGTCGGCCATGTGTCGAAAATTTACAACAAGTCTTCCAATTGTAATGAACAGAACATGGTATTATATTGATACTGTAATGTTATGGTACACTCTTAAAAATAAAGGTGCTTCACAATGCCATAGAAGAACCTTTTTGTCTAAATGGTTCCATAAAGAACCGTAAACATCTGAAGAACCTTTCTGTTTCACAAAAGGTTCTTTGTGGCGAAAGAAGGTTCTTCAGATTATAAAAAGGTAAGAAAGTGATGTTTTTAAAAAGCACCTTTAACTGAATGGTTCTTCTATGGCATCGCTGTGAAGAACCTTGTAAGCACCTTTACTTTTAAGAGTGTACATTTTTCTTGCTTGAACAGACCAGAATAGATTTTTAGAGACAAGATGTCTTGTACCTCACATAAACTCCACAATAACTCCAGTCTTTCAGCAAAATAGTTTGATTAAAGTGGTCTGTTACCACAACCAAAATTATGGAGAAAACAACCAGCACAAATATGTTCTCTCAAAGACTATAGCTGACCCCAACCACAAGGGAGGTCTCGGCATCCCACACAGAAAAGCAAGGGTTTGTGTGTGCCTGTTTTGTGCTCACACAGGGTCTTTCATTCCCAAGGGCGAAAATATCAGAAATCATCTGATGAACACTCACACACAATTCCATTCATGACATTTCAGTTCACATCAATTCATCCTTTGCTGTTCAAAAGCTGCTTTTCTTCAGTGGCACATTACAACACATTGTAGATATGCTGAAAATAAAAATCCTTCTCTCGGTTCACTTGGTTTATATTGTTGATTTCTGAAGTTTAAACACCCCTCCCTGATCTGGACTAACTCCCTTCCTTCCTTCTCTGAATGACATAATGAAAAAGAATAGTGTTGTGGGTGTGCTGATTGTATTTTAACTTCTTATATTTTTAGATTTAATTTTTTTTTAATAAAAATATATAAAAATGCATATAAAATTATAACATTTTAATTAAATAAAAAATATTATACAGTAAAATAATACTATATATATATATATATATATATATATAGTGGTGTGAAAAAGTGT